AGGGATGAAAAGAGGAGCTTGCTTCATGGATATCATGGAAAATTGGAGGAAGCAACTAGCATGAGGCTGAGCTCTGGGCAGTTTACCGGCCTCAATAATGCTTGAGAAGGGATGAAGAACACATGCCATTGAGACAGGACATCAAAAACAAAGTGTTAAACTCATCAAGGATTCACACATTCAGCACTGTTCAGTATGAGGCTCTGCTGAAGATAGCTAGTTCTAATACAAAGAATGCAACCTGCACAAATAGCTCATATAACGAGATGGGAATCAAAGTGCGGAGGTTGGCAAAAATATGGGTGTAAATAACCAAGTCCCTTTTGTGTTTCTTAATGGATCCCCCCCACTGAGATTGCAAATCTGCTGTTTGCAGACGTCAATTGGGGCTTCTTCTTCTACTTCTACTATGTAAAGGCAGCTTTGCCTATTTCTCTGTTTTGTCTTTATCTTTTTTCTATGAATAAAATACATAAATAAATAAAAAAACAATGTGCTTCATAATCGTGGTGGTGGTGGTGTGGTGGTGCTAACAGTGACTAGTATGCTGTGAATCGGTTGCAGCAATCATTAGTGATGATGTAGCAATTGTTGAGGTTAATGACGTACGTTTGATGCTGTGTATAAATATTTTACAAATTCAATTAGAAATAAAATAATTATGTAATTTATGTGAGAAATTTGTGCATAATTTAAAATTGACTTTTATTTTACAAAACTCAATATAATTGATTTCCCAAATGGATTGGACAAAGGGTACCGCCTCTTACGCCAAAACACCGGCAAATTTATGATAATAAATTTTAATAATATATACTTTTCAAAAAAATATAAAAATTATCATGTTTAGAATTTTTCTTGACAATATGAATTATCTTCAAAGTAGTTACAAACACTATAAGAATTGCAACATTTGAAAAATTAATTTTTTAATTGTTAAAAATCATTTTTAAGTTGACGAATGTAATTCCCATTAAATTATCACCCCAATGTCATTGACTAATTGTCGGAAAATATTGGTGACTAAATATTTTAAGTACCAAAGAATACCATCGTCACTAACAATTTAGTCCGATTAAAGTTCAAATTAAATTTAAAAAAAAAAATTATGGCGACTAAAAAAGATTATTAGTCGACAATGGTTCTTTGTGCTCTAAATAATTTTAAGCGTCACACATATTTTTCCACTCCGACAATTATCAATGACCAAAGTTGGATAACTTTAAATTTGGGAATTGACATTCTCAACTAAAAACTGATTTTTAACATTAAAAAATTAATTTTCAAATTCTATATTCTTATAGTGTGTAAACTTACTTTTGAAAGATATATATATGGCAAGAAAACTAAATTGTATATATTTTTATATTTTTTTGCGAGATAATATATTATTTACATAAATTTGTCGGTTTTGGCGTAAGAGCGTACCCTTTGTCCAATCCATTTGAATCCAATTATAATGAGTGTAAGATAAAAGTCATTTAAATTATGACAAATTTCTCACATAAAATTACATAATGTATTAATGTAATTGAGATTTGGTAAATATTTATACACAAGCATCAACGTACGTCATATAACCTACAATTGCTACAATCATCAACTAATGTTCTGCAACCATCATCAGCATCACTGTCACTGTTTAGCACCTAACCAGCAACCACCACACCACGATTATGAACCACCATTGTTTATTTTTATTTTATTTATGTAATTTGTTCATAAGAAAAAGAAGAAACAGGACAAAACAGAGAAATAGGCAAAGCTGCCTTAATAGTTAAGAAAGGAGAGAAGAAGCCCCAATGACGTCTGCAACAAGCAGATTTGCAATCTCATGGGGGGGACATTAAGAAACACAAAGGGACTTGGTGATTTACAAACCCAATATTTGCCAAAAACCAACCGCACTCTTGAAATTCCACTCTACGTATATGAGCTATTGTCATTGCATCTTTTGTATTAGAAAGCTTAGCATCTTCAAGCACAGCCCTATACTGAAAGTGCTGAATGGTGAATCCTTGATACGTTTAACAACTTGTTTTGAGTCTGTCTCAATGCATCGTGTCCTTCATTCCCTTCTCAAGCAATTATGTGAGCCTCGGTAAAACTGCCCAGAGCTTCAGCCTCCATTGCTTGTATGGCTTCCTCCAATTTTTCCCATGATTATCCATGAAGCAGCTCCTTTTCAATCCCTGAAAAGGCTCCATATCAGCTGGCCCCGGATGGCCTTTGACAACCGTCAAGTTGAGTTTAATTTCCCCGCAAAAGGCAAAACCCAATTATTCCTGTTATTTAGAGGTTGGTCCTGTAAAGTGAAATCAGTTTGGAATGCCTCATATGTCTCTGTGGCTCGGTGTTGATGGATCTAAAATTTCGTAGACCATTTTTCATCCTCTTGTTCTGAAGACCACATTGTTTTATATTTCTTAAATTGCCCAAATAGTGTATAAGGAACACAAATGCTCCAAAGCCATGTGGTAGCCTTCACTTTCCTGATTCTTCAAATTTAGTTGTAGCCATTAAGCCACCATTTGTTATTACCACTACCTTTATAATCCTTGTCATCGTATCGTAAACATACCAATCATTTCAAGTAATTGAAATTTTCATTATATTAAATAGTGAAATTTAATCCTTATTATTAGTGAAATTATTGAAAAAGTGAAATTTCTACTAAAGAAAAAAATATTACAAAAGTAAAGGTAAAATGAACTAGTGAGTAATGGAAAACTTATGAAAGGTAAGAGAGAATCATCAATAGATTCGTTTGAAACAAGTGGGATTGTCACTATCATTTAATTAGCTAATTGATAATTTAATTTTCTATTAATTTGTTTCTAATTAACCTATAATGTGTGGGTAATTACCAATTTTACTTTAATTGAAATTCCCTTTCAAAAATTTAAGACCCTTCAGAGTTTGCCCCTAATGCCCTCCCTACGTTCTCATGTCTCTTTCTCTCTCTCTCACACACAATACTTTCTTCTCATTCTTCCTCCTCAACGACGATTTTGTTCCTACCATTCCAACGTTGTGACCGCCCCAAATCCAAAGTCGACACTGCCTGATTCACAGAATTCAGAGTATTTTATTCTGACCAGGTAAGTTGATTTATGTTTTTTCTTTAGATCATATTATTTGCCCATAATTGTCTCACAAATCAACTCCCTCTCTTACCAATCCTCTACCTCCACACACCTTCATCGCCCTGTAATCATACGGCCCAATGCCACCGTGCACCGTTCTCTGAATACAAGCGGAACCCCTCAATCGCCACAATCCCTAACCATTCGCCACGACCCATAAATTACCACCAGACAATCCTACCAGTAAGCCGTTTTTCCATTGCTTTGTTGTCCGCTCTTCCATCCTCTCTTGCTTCCTGCCACGTGCTCTAATATAATTGTTTCTCTCTTTTCTTAGCCACCATATTTTCGTTCTGGGCATAGTTATTCCAGAATTTGGTAATTCGAATAGAATTTTGTGTTGGAAACTTCATATTTTGCTTTTGTTTGATCGAATTGCAAAATTATATGTTCGTTTAATTCGCCTGCTCACTTTCTTCCTTCATTCTTTAAGGCTTTTTACCAAGCTCCCTCTGGACTTATCTATCCAATACCAAGAAAATACCTTTTAGCGCCACTTTGTCTCTCTCGCTTATCAACTCTGTTCTGTCTCTTCATTGTTATATCTCTCTATCTGTCTCCTCAATTATCTTCTCATCTCACCACACATCTTGTCTACCACTTTTCAACCACTAACTGCAAATGTCATTCCACTACCACCACTACTACCTGTTGCCACTCCACCCTACGACTACATTACTACCACAATCACCACCACTCCACCGCCACTACTGCCACTACTCTACCATTACCTCTCCTCCACTCACGCTCTCATCTCCTCTATCCACTAACCATCAACTTCTATTTACATATCACAAATTTGTCAACGGAGAATCTTCATCGAGGACTATGTGATCGGAGGAACAATAATGAGGACTAGTGCTCTACTTCATATAAATCTTGCTGTTATAAAGCACTATCAGGAATCTTCATATAATCGATGATCTTCATCGGCAAAAGCTTTATAAATGTTGCTTATGCGAATTCCTCCACGTAGTCATGCTAATGAAGCTCTGAACATTGTTGTGAACGAAAGAGTAAGAGAGAGGAGTTGTTTGGTTGGCAAGAAAAGATAGGAAGGGAATGAGAGAGTGTGGTTATATATAATGGGTGTGAGTGAGGGACTTAGACATCAAAAAATGAAAAAAAAATATTGTGGACCTTCCATTACTAAAATTTGAGAGGATGTTTAGATCAATTTCCTATAAATCTATAATAACAAAAAATTAAAAATAAATGTTTTCTTTTATATTTTTATATTTGGCTGTATTTATTTTTTATGAGATTTATACTTTTTAAATGTATCTAACATTTTATACTTTTAAATTATCTAGATTTTATACTTTACCCCTACTTCTACCAAATAAAAAAAATAATATTTTTTTTAAGTAAAATAAAAAATGAAACAAAATAAATTTTCAAACCTAGTAACTAAAAAAAATAAATAAAATATTAACCAACAAAATAAATTAAATAAAATAACAAAAAACAAATTTGTTTTTGTTTTCCCGCGCATGAATCTTCCCCCCCCCCTCTTTGTTTGTCACCATCCCAAAATCCCAATCCCCTAAGCCTAACACTCCTCTCACTCTCCTGCTCTCTTTTATCTCTCACCGCCTACTACGTCGTCGCCTCTGGTAACCGCAACCGGCGACCACCACCGCCGCCGCAACCCTCTCCCTCCACCGCCCTCTCTCTCTTCTCCTATTCTCTCACCGTCCGTCATACTTTGGGGGGGGTCGTCTTCTCCACTCTCGTCGTCGGATCCAAAAACCTAACCCTACCTTCGATCTTCTACCAATCCCTCCACAAGCCATAGTTCAAATCCGACCCTACACTCCCC